TAATAACTCCAGAATTTGTTGGAAGATGTTGGGCAATCTAGATTCTTTACTACTCTTTACAAGAACTCTGATGTGAATTCGATTTTTGATTTAACCCTCCGTTTGCTACCAGCGGTAACAATTTTTCAGTTTATTCTATTTTATTCTGATTTTATTTCATTTGGATTTCATTAAATATTATTTTTATTATATTTTGACATTTTTCTTCAAGCTTTCAGGATACTGATCACTAATGCTTTTTCAGTTTTCTTCATTTCGCCAATTAATTTATCATTCAAATTCTTCTTTCAGACATAGTCCTTGTTACCTAATTCGAGGTCATGTTTATAGGCAATGGAAGTATGACAGAATAGACTAGTAATAATAAAAATTGTATATATTTATATTGCTGCAAATACACATAAACATACAACACGGTATAAACACACTGAAGAAAAAATAAAATTCAAAAAATGTCAACCAAAGTCAAAAAGTCAAGAAAAGGATAAAATTAACCCTTTGGTTAATGGAAGTCCCAATTCGGAGATATTCAATCTGAAGCCAAAAGAGATTTCGGCAAATTCGTTTGTTTTTTGTCTCTAAACACTTCAAACTTGACTACAAAGCCTTACACTTGCGCCACTGTTGTCATGAGTAGGAATCTTGATCGCTGAGGGAGCTCACGTGAATATCTCACTGAAAAAATTGCCCTCAATTTTGTATAGGACCCTTGGGTGTTTTGAATGTCATCGATTCTTGATTGATATATTAAATATGGACTGATGATTCATAATAATGATGAAATAATCGTATCCTATTATTCAACAAGAGCGAATAAACTCTATGTATACTGTTTACTGTATTTATTATACTAATAAATTCAATGGACGATGAATCTACTCTGTGATAGTTCATATTACTAGTCGTATAAAGAATTGTTCAGTCAGTGATTTTTAGACAAGTTTTTATTATTACCTTTCATTTATTCTACTAATGTTTTGGCCCAAATCCTATGTAGAGTTATTGATATATTTACTGAAACTTAAACCAAGTGTGTCACAATTTTAATTTATTGTTTTTAGCATGAAATTTCACCAAGAGGTAAGCAAAACCTCCGTGTCGAATATTTTGTTATTTCCAAATCTTATTGACTATTTCGTTGACTTTTTTTCATTAATTCTCTGTATTGTATCAATCAAATATTCGTTTTTCATGCATAATTTGTTTTCCGTGTCTGTAAAGTATCCAAGACAAACGAATTTTTGATACAACGAATAGTGAGTAAATGAAAAGAAAATCAGCGAAGTAGTCAATAAGATTTGGAAATATTCAGATATAAAAAATGCCGATACGCCGAAACGTTTGTACTAAGTGAATGTAGTTAATTTAATATTCTATTACCTGTAATTCGATAATGCGAATTATATATATATATATATATATATATATATATATATATATATATATATATATATATATATATATATATATATATGAGAAAAATTCAATTTTTGCTTTCACTTATCGTTAAGAATAGATATATCGAGGGAAAGTATATTAGAATATTTTAGGATAAAAATTTTGATATTTGTGTATATTTCGTGTGTGTTAATTCGACAAACAGTCTCCTTCATCAGAATAAATCACACCTCTGAAAATTGAGAGACTGTGTATTTGTAGCAACATAACAGCAAAGTATACTGCACAGGAACTGGGAAGTAAATAATAAAAGGACATAATATGGCCAGATGTCCAGGAAATAGACCATAATAATATCAACTACAAGATTTTAAGACACCTTGCTGATATACAATCATCCTCTACCGGGTGTCGACTCAGTGGCGTAGTTAACTTTCAATTACTGGCAGTTCTCCAGTAACCAGGATCTGTACTGGATCCGAAATTAATCAATATGTATATACACGACGTCTCTCATTTTCGAAACACAAAAAATGCTCTGTTTGCTGATGACACATCAACATACACCCTTTCACTCTTTTCAGGCAGAAAACTATCTGATAAAATATCACATCGATATATCTAGGGGCAAGAATGAAAAATTGAGATGAACAAAACAAGAACCGAACAAATAATTTTTCACACATGAATTCATTGAAAACAAAATATCAACACTTCTCTCTATAGTCGGCACAAAACTCTACCATCACAATCGGTAAATTGTGTTTTGAACAATTTTGGTTCAGTAATATTGTATACTCTTGATAATGGGTTAACCGCCCGAAACATATGTAGAGTTTTCAATATATTCAGTGAAACTTAAGTCAAGTGTGTTAATTTTTAATTTAATAGGTCTCATGTTATATAATCAATTACTAGGGTATGTTAAGTTATCACGAAAAGCATTCGTATTTAAAAAACGATTGAGACATCATATTTTAATAATTCCTCAACATTCATAGGACTATTTTATACCCTAATCCGTAGAAGTTGTAGTATGGCAGCATGATCTGGCATGCTATTTACACTTGCCATCAACGCCATCTTGAGGCTATTCAGAAAAGGTTCTTGAAGTTCTTAGTTTGGTGGGAGGATAAAGTTTATCCACAAAGGGGAGTCAATCATAACGAATTATCGAATCGATTTGGTTAAATAGCATTGCAGAACAGGGGAGAAGCTTCATCAATCAAATTTTTATACAAATTACTGCACAATGGTTATGATTGTCCTCCTCTCTTGTCCACTTTGAAATTTCGTGTTCCTAGGCAAAATTACTGCAGAATTATTTCACCTTTGTACTCCAAGGAGCATCTCGTTAATACAATCTCCCATTTGGTTTATGGAGACTACATTCAATAAAGTTGCCAATAATAGTGACATTCACTTTGACTCCATAGAGGTTATTATAAGGAGTTATGTGGACAAAGGAATTGACTAAAATGAATTTATTTAGATTGAGTTCTTTGTAATATTTCATTGAACGATATAATGTAGTTATTAGTTACTATTTTTTTAAATTAGATTGAGCTCTTTGTTATATCATTCATTTCATTTATTTAGTTATTATTCGACATTATGTTATTATTTTCTGTAATTGGGTATTATACCTTTTGAGAATAAAGAAATTATTATTATTATTATCATCTTTTATTGAGATTAATGGAAAATATTAATAATAATAATCTTAGCTATTAATAAGAGTGCACATGTTAAATTTGTAAAATAAATTTTAATATTTTAAATTTCGTGAAAACTAGCTGAAAGCTAATGAAGATACTATTATTATATTAGGCCGTTAGAATTGACGTTAAACTGTTAGTCCAACTTTTGCACAAGCATATAATGCCTTCGAAAGTATGACTAGTATTCTCTTCAGTATTTTGAAATGAAAACATATTGTCATCATCATCAATAATATTCCTACAAAAATCCAAGGTACTCAAATTCATCAGATGAACTACGTTTATCTCGATATCTGAAATCTGTTAACCACTAGTACAATGTAAAATGTACACCTGCACCATTGCTTGTAGGTACACTTCGCTGTGATCAGAGAATGGTTTATAAACACGGTAAATCACATCTAGCAGACAATACCAGTCGGAATTTATGTCGTCATTTGCGCTTTCAGTTATTAATACACGGTATTTTCAGCGACTGGGGCGAATAAAGCCGTCTGTCAAAACAGGGTAGTCGATTAATAATATTTTTTCTTGGCGGTTTGTGTGATCACTGCAAGTTAACGTAGACACGAATAGAAATGAATAAAGTGATCCTCGAATGTGAACGGAGATCTGATTATGGGAAATATGGATTTTGCGAATTTGCCATGGCCTTGACGTGCAGTCGAATTGCGAAATAGTTGGAGGGAAAACTTGAGCGAATTTATTTACTTTCAATGAATTTCATTGCACTTGTGAATAACGAAGTGAGATTTCGATTTTTCTTACTCATTGATAGGTTCAATTTACTAATTGTCTTTCAGTTATTTAATAGTGTTAGCGTTTACTCAATGTAAATCCATTATAATTGAATATAAACTTGAATTCAAACACTTGAACTTATGATTTGTACTTTATTCACTACATAGCATGACGCGTTTCGTCGTTTCAAACGTAAATTCGTCATTAAGGTCATTAAACAGATTGCGGTTAATAATAATTATGAAAGCGAACTAGTGTCAAAAATTCTTCACAAAAAATCTATCGGAAAGCTCTACGATTAGTATTTCCTTATCAGTCGGATAGAAATCGTAAATATAATAGTTTAACATACTTTGGAACCGTCAGTCAAAAAGTCAAAACCTTTTTAAGTAAACATAATATTAATATTTCATTTAAAACGAACAATAATTTATCGAGACACATTAAGAACAATAAAAACAAAATTGAAAGAGAAGACAAATCAGGTGTTTACCAATTGAATTGTGGGACATGTCCCGGTATATATATATATATATATATATATATATATATATATATATATATATATATATATATATATATAGGTAGAACTAGTAGAAATTTCGATACTAGAATACAGAACATAAATATAACTTCGCGTATAATAAAAGTTATTCATATTATGCTAGTGGATAATAAATTTTACACAATATAGGCTTAAAAATTCTGGAAATTTGCGTAATGAACAGATAGAATTAAACAATTCACCCTTGTTAAACTTTTTTAGATAATAGAAATTATATTTCTGAATGGAATATCTTAGGTAAAACCCGAAGTCATAGAATCCCATATTCCCTGATATTTATACCTGTGTTTTTCAAAATGTTGTTATTTTTCTGTAAGCATCTGAAGAAGTCGTTTGTAACGAGGAAACGCGTCATGCTATGTAGTCAAAAAAGTGTAAATCATAAGTTCAAGTGTTTGAATTTAAGTTTATATTGTCTTTCAGTTGTTGACGAAAAATATTAAATATTCTTCTCAAGAGATATATCCGAGGGAAGTTCGACAAATCTTCGTGAATGCAATATATTTTTTTCAGTGACAGTTATTTTTCAACAACTATCACTGTAACTCCACCTATTCAAATCAGATTTCAAGACAGTGTCCGTGGTTTAATCGGGAAAACATTCGAATATGGTGCGGAAGAACTCGGGTTCGAGCCCCGCTGAAGGCACGGGTGTTTGTGTTTGTTTATGATTTAAATAGTTTAAATAATGAAATGTGCTGGGTAATGTACATTGATTACAAGCCGAAAGCCGTTAGGAAACGACGTTAAACTGTAGGTCCACTGATTTTTTTTTAGAATATGGTTAGGCTTGACTACGGGAAAGTAAATACTTTGGACAATGACAATTTAACGAAAATTTGTTATAGTTCAGTATCTCTGGAGCATTTGGGAACTTGATTATTAGCAAGGTAATTTTCCGTGAGTAGCTTCATTTGATGAGACGCCCAATAATTTTCCTTACGAAACTCGGTTGTGGTAGCTAATAGAAGTAGCAAGCATGAAATGTGTTGATTTGATCATTCTGAAAATATGTATTACTACCCGAATTTTGTTTTGTTGAGTCTCAAAATGATTATCTAAATTAGTCGCAAAAATATATGTTCAACAAAATTTATGGCTTCATCAGAGTCCCCTTTTTTGAACATGTATCAATAACGAGGTCATCATAAACGATTACTAACCAGGTGATTTGTTTTTACTTAATTGAAATTTATGTAATTTAATAATCTTATTGTGCTACAAATTGCGTGGTACGTTATTCCGGTCACACTTTTTTTTTTAGATATTTTAGATGATATGAAATCAACATGATCATTGAAACACAATTTTTCGTCTAACATAATGCCTAAATATTTTACTGTTTCTACTTTTCTAATATTTTGTTCATTAATCTTCACAGTTATATCCTCATTTTTATTGGTTTTAAGGGTTTTACTTGTACCCAAAACTATGAAGTTAGATTTTTGCACATTTTGGGATAAGCTATTGCCACATAACCATTCATAAATTGCAGAAAGGTCTCTATTGATCCCCTCTGTCATATTCTAAATATCTTTGTCACATATATAGAGTATAGTATCATTAGCGAATAAACGTATAGAACATTTTTTCACATGAGAGACAATATCGTTTATATATAAGGAGAAACAGTACGGACCGTAGACAGTTCCTTGAGATATTTCTAACGACATAATTTCTGTTAGAAAGGTAACGACGATAAATGAACGTTCTGCTGATGAAGATGGAAACTCCATCGAAACGTCAATTGTAATACTTTTCGAATTTTAATATAGGAATTAAACCTGTAAACCAAAATGAATGTTTAATATATACAATGGATTATTCAATGAAATAGAGTCAACTTTTCAACTGAAACATCAAGAAAACTTCGAACACTACAAATGAACGTAATTTATATTGAATAATTTTGACATCGGAACTTGTAAAGCGAGGTTACAATTCAAGTGCCGATTTCTGTAGCAGGGAAGCTGTTCTTCAAAGTTTCCAGAAGAGCATGAGTGTTGTGTACCTCCCATTTGGTAGGTAATATTTTATTGAATTTATTGGACGAAACTTCGAGTTGTATGCTCATCGTAGGGCGTGATACCTGTGACGAATACAGAGAAGTTTGGAATTCCATTAGGAGAAAACTATTACTTGTTTGACGCAGACAAGAGCAGGATTAAGAACCTCTTTCCCCATTCAAAAGATTAATCTGAACCTTGTATATGATTTCGTATTAACAGATCATTTATTTTTTAAATTCGTTTCATTCTATGATCATTGACGACTATAGATGCAGGGGCAAATTCTTATAGATCTGTTTCTAAGTCTGGGGGAATTTAATCCAATTTTAATAACCAGCCACCTGGAAATTATCATAGTTGACTCATGAATTTTCCGACCACTATAACAGTAGAAATCTGTACTAATTGAGGCTTGTTGTTCAGGAAAGTTAGTTACCTAACAAATTTCTTCAAGATTCGCCAACTTAATTATATATGTTCCTAATAATTAAACACACATTAAACTAACATTCAATCTACTAATCACGGGTGACTTCTTAGTGGATTAAATATTACGAATCATTATTCGGTTGGGCCGATACTTGATGAAAATCTAAATACATAATTTAAATAAAGCTGAGTAGTTTTTCGATTTTCACTATAATTAAATCAAAACATGACAATATCGTTTCGCCAACACAGTGGTTTCTCTTCTTCATCAGTTTATCATCAACATCTGATGAAGCCAATGTGTTGGCGAAACGATATTGTCATGTTTTGATTTGATTATAGTGAAAATCGAAAAACTACTTAGTTTTATTCAAATTATTAAATATTACGAGTCATTTATGACCGATACAGTCATATTTATTTGTAATAAGCAATTATTCGATGAACTGAGAATATAGAATATTTTTCAGTAATACTCATTACTGAGAAACATAGATTCCTTCTTAGTAATACTCATTATTATTTGCATGAACAAAATATTAATCTAACTCAACCAGAAAAAAGTTGTGATTATCCATTTCGGGGGTTGCTTACTCCTCTTAAGCACACCCCGTCATCTAAAGGCCCCAATGGACGAGGGATATTTCCAGAGTTTTAGTGTTTCAGATGAAATTTTCATTGTTTCGTGAATTGTGGTCAATAGTACAAGATAGTTCTTCGACATAATGTCTATTTAACTGAATACATTTCAACGCCTTTCAGACTCCTCAATCATTATGGCCAGTTTCATACCAGTTTCACCTTCAAGTCGAACACCACAGAAGGATTTTGTCAAAATGATAATAAATGAGTACAAGATCGAAGGAATGATGTGGATGAATCTCGATGACGGCGCAACATGTCACACAGCTCGTGACACAATCGATTTATTGAAAGACACGTTTGGTGACCACTTAATTTCACGTTTTGGACCTGTCAATTGGCCTCCAAGATGTTGTTATTTAACACCGCTAGACTATTTTCTGTGGGGCTATGTAAAGTCATTAGTCTATGCGGATAAGCCACAAATGCTTGACCATTTGGAAGATAATATTCGCCGTGTTATTGCCGATATACGGCCACAAATATTGGAAAAACTCATCGAAAATTGGACGTCCAGATTGGACTACATCCGAGGCAGCCGTGGCGGTCATATGCCAGAAATCATACTTCAAATGTAATGCCACAAGATTATCTTTCGAATAAAAAAAATTCTTGTCAATCGAATGATCCATCGTTGTTTTATTGCAATTTAAAATTTTAGACCCCAAAAAACACCCTATACTAGCTAATCAGCTTGGAACAACCGAAAGCAGATGACCTAAAAAATCAGTACAATTTTTGTTCAGCTATTGAGAAATGCAGAAAGTTACGCTGATTATGGTGGTCTAGGTGTTGATAGGATCGATGTATAACATATTCAGGATACCAGAGCAGAGTGTTTAAGAATGGGTATCTAATGTGCCCATGGTAGGATATCTAAATCCAATTGTCTTGTCCATGCCATATCGAAATTCGGTTGGCAGAAGATGAGTCTGCTCCAATAATATTGTTTATTACGCCTGTGTTTTTTAATTGCAACACAATTTCTAACAGTTAGCAAACATCTGCATATTAAACGTGTCTGAAGAGTTTTATCGTCTATTTTCACTTCCTCAGTAACAAATCTTGTGGAGCTTGTATATATACTTCGACAAGGACTTGTTGTTGTCAAAACAACAGCGTTAGGAATTCACAATGTGATGACAAGTGGAAATTATAAGGTGATAATTGAAGGATTAGTAATTTCATGTGTTTCTTTCAAGTTAAATAATAGATATAAATAGATACATGCATAAGTTACCTGAATCTGTGTATGTTCACTCAGTGCTTTGGCTCTTATGCTCCACATCTTCGTGATTCAACTCGAATTTTCCTCGGCAAAAAAATTTCCGAATTTCAGAATCGAATGAAAAGAAAGTTGAATTGTTTCCGTCTAGACAGCCCACAATTCTCGTCGTTATTTGTATTTTCCATTCTGGATATCCGACAGAATTTCATGCATGAGAACACTCTGTCCTGCTGCGAAAATTTTCTTTTTTCTATTTTCTCATTATTTTGTTCCATCCGTTCCGAAGGGGCAGTATGCAGACATTTTTGGCAAGAGTTTTCACATTGGTGAAAGTCGAAATATTGTCGCAGTTTATCCTAATACACATTATACTCAGATATATACAATTTGGATAGGGGAAAAATAAGGGAGAACTGAATTAATGCATTTTGTCTGGCATCTGTCTACATTATTCGAACTTACATTTAGGATTGGATGTAACTCTATATATCACCCTTTCTGAAGCCTGAAAATGAAATTCGTTTATGTGAGTTTTTCTTATATAAAATATGTCTTTTTATTCACTTTGAAATATCAGTCTCAATTGTTTGCATCGAAAAAATTATGTAGAATAAGTTTTGATTTTGACGACTCAAAAAGCGTGTATTCTTAAAGAACTTTAAAACACATTCATCTTCGGAAAAATACTTGCTTTATTCTTTGGAAAAACGAGAGATTGTTAACTGCTCTTTCAATTTCGGCCACATGATCATATTTTGCGAAATTTTTGAGATAAAAACTCAATGTGTAAGATCAAAATTGAAGTCTTAATAAAACCTTATTCCCATTTTCTGTCCAAGTTGTCGGAAGCATTCTCGAATGAAATGAATAATTTTTTCTATGAAATTCATCCAAACGTTCTCAATTATACTCTCATCTTTATATTATATATATATATATACATTTCTTATCTGCGTGTGTGTCAACTCCTCTTCAAGGGCTGAAGCAATTTTCTTGAAATTTTTTCTGTGCGTTCCTGTGGATTCGAAAATGGTTCAGATCGGACCCGGTAGATGGTGCTCGGATCGAGTACTGAAATTTTTTATCTTTCGTATATTAGAACGTCAAGGTGGAACATTTTGGAAACCAAATAATTCTAGATTGTTTGCTCATTCAAAAAAGTTTGAAATTTCCGAATTAAAGACATATGTACAGGACAACGTCTATCGGCCCGTTAATACCATTTAGGAAGTTTTCATTGAATGCTTGCGGGAAGTCAATTGATATCTTCTCCTTTAAATTCTAGAAGAATCTTGGTCAAATTGTTCAAAATGCTGAAGATTCACTTATAATTCGAAATG